AATGCTCACACTGCCCAAATTCTTATGCTCACAGGTAGCTATGTAGTAAGAGAGCCAGGTAAGACATGCAGCAAAAGAAACAACCCATTCCTACTTCTGGGTCTTTGTCTGATTTGTTTCTAATTGCTGAGTTAATAAGTGCCTGATGGCTAGCAGTCAAGTCTGCTAATTACAGGGCTTGCCTGACTGCAATTTCTCAGTACATGGGGCTTGAATTCATCCATTCTGCAGAAAAAAAGGCAGAAGGCAAGCTATGACAGCAATCCTGATGGTAGTGTGTTTACCAGATTCCCCTCTCTGTCTGCGCTGAGACAGATCCCTCATTTGACTGTACCTTTCCCTGCACAGAGGAGTTAAAGCAGCTGATTTTTTTCCAGGAGTGTATGAAGAAGGAAAGGTATAGCAAGAATAGAGGAATGGCAGACATTTTGGAGGTACAAAGCCAGCTGTCTGCCCAGCACTGAGCCTTTGCAGAAGGAGCTATAGGTAATACCTACAGAATACCTGTGAGTTTTCAGCTCTGATGAAAATCTTGGTGTTTGGGCAAATTTGTTTGTGCAACTTCTGGTAGCAGGACAGCAGATCTATGCTTCTCATGCACCCAAGGGACGTGGAACAGTTCATTCTGACACTTCCAGAGCTTCCTGTGTGAACAGGGATATGGGAAACTGGGTCTGCTGTCCCCCCAAGCCAAACACGAAGGGATGGCCTGTGCTGGCTTGTGTGGGAAGTAGGTTTTATAACTACCCCTCTTTAATAAGAGATTTCAAGGCTCTGTGTGCTGTGCTGGCCACCAGGCTCTGTCACTTCAGCCTACAGCCACTTACTCTGCTTACTCATCTCCCTGCTCCTGCTGGCCAGGCTATTTCTGGTACAAGCCAGGATGCTGTTGGCCTTCTTGGATACCTGGGCACATTGCTAGCTACTTTTCAGCCATCTGCCTACCAACAGCCTCAGGTCCTTCTCTGCTAGGTAACTTTCCAGCTACTCTTCCAGTCCGTATATATACCTATATATGTCCATATATTTACAAGTGGCTTTACTCTTCCACCAGCTCCTTCAGCACTCTTGGGCGGATCCCAACTGGTCCCATAGATCTGTGTGTCCAGTGGTGTGGTATGCTGTTAAATATTGTTTCCCTTGGATTGTAAGGAATTCATTCTGTTCTTTGCCTTTGTCTTTCAGTTCAGTAGGTTGAGTACCCCAAGAGAAATTAGTCTTACTAATAATAACTGAGGTAAAGAAGGCATTCAGTACCTCAGCCTTTTCCTCACTTGGCTTCTTCCTTGTCAGTTCATGCTTCAGCACATGGGGACAGTCTGCTCTGGTGCCTTCAGAATTTCATCACTGAAAAAAATCCTTCTTGGACTCCTTTGCCCTTTAGAACTGCCTCACAAAGGTCTCTGCCAACCAGGTCTCTCAACAGGCCAAAATTTGTCCTCCCCAAAATCTAAAGTAGGACAGTTCTACCAACTGTCCTCCTTGCCACCCCCAAGGATGGAGAACTCCATCATCTCATTATCACTGTGCATCCAACCATCACATCACCCACAACATCTCCCTCTTAACAAACAACAGCACTTTCCCTAGTCGGTTCTCTCACCACCTGTGTCAGAAGTCATGTTAGATGGGAAGCTGCTGCCTTTGCCTTCCTGAGATCTTGGGACTGAGCAGGAGCTTGCCAGCAGTCCTGGAGGAGAGCCCAGCCTAGGTACACTGAGCTTTTGAAACCTCTGCCTGTGGCTCTTTCTCACTGCTGCATCTGGCAGCAGAGGTTTTTATGTGATGGATAACACAGCTAATGCATCAGCTAATGCATTTCTGGATCTGGGTTTTCTCCTAGGAACAAAGACTCCTTCCCATATCACTCTGTAGCTGAGCTGCATGGGGAGTGGGGGTTTTCTGCTAACTCCTGTTTAGGGGAGGCAGGAAAGTATCTATCTTCTGCAAAACAAACCATGTAAATTTGGTGGGGAAACTTAATATTGTTAAAATCTTTGGGCTTCTTTTGGTGGAAAAAAACAAAACAAAAACATAAACAACACAGTTGCTTTAGATTTAGATTTCTGCTGGTTTGAGCATGCTAGGAGCTTTCCGGCAGGACTAATGAGCAATGATAGATGTGCCACAGCTTGATTAGTTCTTGTCTGGTGGCTTCTGCACAAACAATTATTTTTGCCCAGGAGAAGGCTGCTGATGAGAAAGCCCTAGCAGTAATGTTGCTAAGGATCTTTGCTATCAATCTGATTCAAGCAGAAGAAAATCGAACCTGAATTCCTTATTGATGAAGGCGAGACAAAGAAAGTGTTTCCTGTTGGGACAGGGCAGATGGAGGCTGTGTGGTTAGCTGCAGAACTGAGCAGAGGGACTTCAGCAATACTAATGAAGGATGGGATGCAGAGGGTCCACCCTGGAGCTGTATTCTGAAAACCTCGTATCTGTTCATGACCCGAGCTAGAAACAGCAGTCGTTGGTCATCAGCCAAAGGAGAGGGTGCCCACTCTGCATGAGTTACACTGGTTACCTGTGGTGCAGGCACCACAAGTGATATCATGTAAAAAGCCTATCAGGATCCCCAAAGAAAAATCATCTCCAGCCAAAAAGACCTTTACAGTTGGCCAGACAGGAAGGGCAGAGTTGCTGTAAATGAAAATGAATAAAAGAATAAAGTCCTGTGTTGTTAGCAAGGGCACAGAGGGAGTCAAGAACCAGGCTGGATGATTCTTTCTCCTGAGCCAAGGGTTTCCTCTGCCTGGTTTGTTCTTGAGCTGTCTGGCTCTGTTCATGCAACCAGGGATGCATCACTGCCAGAGGTGGGAACTATAAACCTTGGAGTTTCTACTGTTCTGTTGTTTTATGAGAGCTGTCTGCGTATTTCTGGGCTGGATACAGCTCTCTGTCATTTGTTTCAGCTGCCTAGTAGAGGCACCAGGGGGTTCTTTCCATGGCAGGAACCAAACCATAAAGCAATTGTTTATGGCAATCACCATTAGCTGAATTTACTTCTGCTGCCAAGAGTAAACCTGGAGAGTCATGTATTGGTTTCAAACAGGCTGGAAATTGCTCTCCAGCTTGTTAAGTCCAACTCTTGTGAATGAAGTTGCCCTGATGATAGAGAAGTGGAAAGGATTGGAGAGTAATATGTTCTTTAGAGAGTACAGAATAAGGCAATTGGTTGTAGGGGTCCAGATTCTGTATCTAAGAAGCTTCCTTAAGAATCAGGATGGGGAGTCATCAGAGAAGTGCTTCACTGATGGAAGTGCTCAGCATCTGCTGGGCAAGCTGCTGCCCTGGAAGCCCTGCTCAGCAAGCCAACAACTGCAGCTGTGCAGAGAATCTTCCCTTGAATTCTTGCTGCCCAGCACTGGTTGGAGTGTAGAGTCTTTGGGACAGGAACCACTAGCTCTGCACTGGGTTCCTACAGTGTTGTGCACATGTGGTAAGGGGCCATACCTGGGATTTTCAAGATAACTTGCAGTGGAACCGGTAGCAGTGCTGGACAAGTAGCAGGGCTTTGCCAATGGGACTGAGAATGCATCAAGCTGGCTTGGAGGCCCAGTCATGTTTTGCTCTATACAGGATCCAGCCCTAGAACTGGAAGGAAGATACACATTGCTCCTGTGTTTGTCCAGCTCCGCAGGACTGCAGTCACTTGTTGAAAAGGCAAGAGAGCCTCTGAGTTAATGGGGAGAGTTGGCTGGACTGCACTGAGCACAGCAAGGAGGTAATGGTAAATTATTCCCAGTCTTGGGTGCAAGTCTCTGGTGTGGGAGTCTGTTGTGTTTGCAGGTTTTCTCAGATCTGTTTTTCAGATCAAACTCGGTCAGCTGGAGAGGCTTTCTCCATCTCCAGTAATTTAGTAATGGCAGGAAGGCATCTACTAACATCTAATCAGCCTCAGAAAAGGAGATGACAGTTTTCCTCCCGGAAGCTACAGGATTGCATGTTTGGCATTCAGCATGCCCTGAAGACAACCATCTTGGGACCGGTGCTCTTTAACATCTTTATCAATGACATCGATGACGGAATTGAGTGCACCCTCAGCAA